TCCAATTGTTTTTGAAATTATATTTTCCTCGGGGCTCTAACTTTTTGGCACAACATCCAGTCCCTGTGTCAATGTCTTGGACAAGTGTTGCATTTTGTCAGGCATACATCTAATCTCCATACTCTCCAGCTGTGTCAATTTGGAGAGAACTGAGATTTATGCAACTGTGATAGATTCCACTAGTGAGCACTTAGATTCTAATGCTTCCCTTCTTCCACCAGAGCCTCGTTGTAGAGGGAGCATTACCTCCCAAAGGTTTATGTCCATGGGGAGTCTTTGGACGTGGTCCCCATGGTACATGAATCGAATCCCATCAATTATTTTACATGCAACAACCCAAGAAAGGAGTTATGGCAGACCACCTCATTCAAATTGAGATGCTGGCTTCAGAGCTAATATAAGGCCATCTCTCAGAAGGGAGAAAACCAAATACATCTTCAACAAGCTCCAGACGTCTCATAAAGTCAAAAGTTGCGTCTAGTGCTGGGAAGACATTACATTTCGGTTCCCCTCAAATTCAATCGGTAGACCAGGAGACCTGTATACATTACTGGTCTTTCCTCATCATCTTCCTCACCTTGCCAGCCTTTTGCCACATTTTGCTTCAAAATACAAGTTACAAAGGCAAAAAGGAAACAATTCTAATCTTATCTGGGGTCCAATCACAAAGTTTCATAGTGCACCTCTCACCTCAAGAGTTTCCCGGCTCAACCAGCAAAGACAGTGCTCCCAAGCAGTGGCATCTGCCTCTATTGGCATGTTCTTTTGGTGGACCTACCATTCCAAGTAGTTTTACCTGGCACGTATAGTATTTTCGGTCAAATGATGAACTTTGAACTCCTCCAGGAAATAATCTTGAGATCCTCTACAATTAAACCTCTGTGGAAACATGACAACAACACCCCTAGAAAGGTGAGTACAAGGTATAGCATTGTACGCATCTAGCAATTGACAGATTCAGTCATCTTCTTTTCTATATTGGTGCGAGTGTATTTAGTCTTCACAATAAAAGAAGCCCATAGATATGCATTGATCCTCAAAAATGAAAAGCAACATTTCATCGGATTTACCGTCATAATTTAACTGCTCTGTTTCAAAATCCGAGAAAACAAATTGCTGAACCAAATGATAATAAAATATCACGATGAACATGGAACAGAAAAAAGTTCATGGCAAAGTCTTGATATAAGAGGATTAATTGGACCCTGAATAGGGAGACGGCAGGAGGAACCATGTCTTCTTCATATACCAATAATAACTTTCAATGCACGTTGCATAGTAAATACTCTAAAAATACAGAATTTCGGATAGATGACCAAGAAAGTTAGGATCAATCAGGAGATAACCAATTTTTCACACTATCTTCTTGAGATTCTACACTTCACGAACAAACTTAAAAATTTGAAAACATAGGAGGAAAATTATCCATATGATGCAACCAACCAGGAGAAAATTGTAGATGATCAGTTGACATATTGAATACATCATGAAAATTCAAAGGTGAACATTTACCAGTAAATAGAGCAAATCTGTTCTGACTGACCTTGCTCAAGCTTAGCTGCCAACTTCAGCCCAATTGGAAGTCATCGCTCAGATGGCATACACCGGCTACAGATTCTACAAGTTCCATTTGTTTTGTTAACTGAATCAAACATGCATAAATCTGATTCAATTGAGAATGCGACTTGTCTTTCACTATGAACTCATAAACATTTCCATTCAACTCAATGGAGCTGCAACCAGGAGTCTTGTCAACTCCTCTCTCCCTCATCATTTTCCTCACCTCCCCAGCCTTATGCCACAAATTTGCTTCAACATACATGTTTCCAAGCAAAACATAAATTCCACTATCACCGGGATCCAACTCAAGAAGTTTGATAGCAGCTCTCTCTCCCAACTCAATGTTTTTGTGAATTAAGCAAAAAACAATGCTCCCCATACCACAGCATCTGCTTTTAATGGCATGGTTTCAATAAGTTCTACAGCCTCCTCTAGAAGACCAGCCCTACCAAGAAGGTCCACCATGCATGAATAATGTTTAAGCTTTGGAGCAATCTCGAATTTGGAGCTCATTTGAGAAAAAAAATTGCGACCCTGTTCCACAAGACCCCCATGACAGCATGCAGACAAAATCCGTAGAAAGGTAACTTCATCCGGCATTAGTCCAACATCAACCATCTCTATAAAAATGGATAGAGCATCTTGTACATCCCCATGAAGTGCCAAGCCACCAATAATAGCGGTATAAGTTAACGTATTTCTGCCAGGAATCTTATGGAACATCTGAAGTGCCTTTGTAATATTACCGCACTTGGCATACATGTCTACCAAAGCAGTTCCAAGAGCAACATTCAAAGTAAGATTATGTTTTTCAATGTAATTATGTATCCAAATTCCAACATCGAGTGCTCCAAGCTGTGCACAAGCAGATAAGACATTAACCATGGTCACCTCATCGGGATTAACATTCATGGCTTGCATTTCATGAAACAAAGACAACGCTTCTTTCCTACTCTTGGCTTGGACATAAGCACCTATCAATGCATTCCAAGGGACAACATCNAAACAAAGACAACGCTTCTTTCCTACTCTTGGCTTGGACATAAGCACCTATCGATGCATTCCAAGGGACAACATCCTTCTCCGGCATCTCATAAAAAAGTCTCCTAGCGGCATCCAAATACCCAAATCTCGCATACCCCACTACCATGGTTGTCCAACTAACCATGGTCCTATCCCCTATTCTATCAAACAATGTCTTTGCTTCCTCAAGATCTCCACACTTCACATACATATCCATAAGAGCATTAGCAAGCGGGATGCTCATATTCAATCCTTTCTCTCGAATATATTGATGAAATTCTTTCCCAAGCCTCAAATCCTCCAACTGAGCACTCGCTGAAACCATCCCAATCATAGTAACCTCGTCAGGATTCACATCCCTCTCCCTCTCCATTTTCTTATACATCCTCAATGCATCCTTCACTTTCCCACTCTTAACATACCCATTGATCAAGGAATTCCATGAAACCAAGTCCCTCATAGAATTTTCGCCAAACACTTTACCTGCAGCATCCAACTCCCCACATGACACCAATAAATGTATCAAAGCATTGTGCACAAATATATCACAATCATAACCCATTTTCTGAACATGTCCAAGAATCTCATGGCCCATATAAAGCAACACCAATCTAGCGCAAGTCTTGAACAACAAAGGAAAAGTACAATTATCAGGCCTTAAGCTAATGTTACTGTTCCTATTAACGATTAACATTTTTTTGTACAAAACAAAAACTTGTAACGGGATTTGGCTAACAGTAAAGGCTCTAATGACTATATTCCAAGAAAACGCATTTGGGTCATGCAAGTGAGACAATAATCTTTTGGAATAA